GGAGACTTTCTTCGCTTCATGTGGGAAGAGAGGCGGTGGACCATCCGCGCTTTGGCTGTCGAGGGGTTTCTTTTCGTGCTGCAGCCACATATTTCTTGAGAGTACTGTGCGGAATGTTACCGTTCTCACTGGTCATTTTTGCAGCGGCCCCAGCGAGAACCGGTGGAATGGCCTCGCCCAACTCTGTATCAGTGTAGTTCGCGTGAAAGTTTCCCATTGCTGCCGGATATGGAGAATGATAACTGGTGGTCAATTGGCTGGAAATGGACTGCTTGTCAGGTATTAAGTGCTTTAGGTTTTCACACAAAGACATCTGTTATAGTTTTGACATATCACATCCGGAATTGCGTAGACATTTTGGCAGTATTGGATACAATATGAGCGGCTAGTAAAGCGGTAAAACTACTAAATTGGCAATTTATATTATACAAAAGTGCTCTGGCACAACTCGCGATGGGTTGCCTCTTTCGTTATGGTACTCTGAAATCCAAACAAACGAAGGGCATGAAAAAGTCCTGACAACTCTATGTCACTCACTTTTTTCTATAGGGTACAATAAAATGATGAGAGTACACGCGTCACACAGCTACTTCGTTCAAGCGTGCTTTAATGTCTTTACGAGCCATGGATGTTGCCACTTGCTCGTGAAGATATTACTTACGACATACTGACTTGTTTTTCAAACTATACTCGAAGTTGTTGCTGTCCATTTATTGGTGATGCACATTAAATATATCGGAGATTGGGCCACAAATCTCCCGAAATTCATTGGGGGGGGGGGGTTAAGTGCAAAACAATTTTCTATATTACTAAGGAGGTTTCAGTATTATTTCCTAATAGTTATTAATAGTTTCTAATTCTAGTGTATCTTTCTTTCTTTCTTTTTTTCGTTCGCTCGTTTTTTAAAATATTTACTGAGATATTCCTGATTAAAATTCGCATGGAAATGAGCTACTGATGTCGAGTTGGATTTGGAATGTCCGACAAGGTTTTTCCAGCGTAGATAGCAGACACCTGTGGCGTGATGTTATTGAGTAAATATAGTATGAGGATAAAGAGGTTACTACTTTAATATATATAAATTTACTGAGCATTGCAAATGAAATGCCTCTCTGCTTTATAGTCTAGATAGAGCATGACCAGAACATAAAACCAGGCGTAATAATGCGAAAAAAGGTATCGATTTGTTTTATCTGTGATCAAATTATCCTTTCAAAACGGCAAGAAGGATCGGTTTACAGTTATTGATGTGGACTTGCCGGTAGATCAATCTCTAGTGTTCGATTTGGTGCCATAGCTCGATATATCAGCCAGTTTACCTTGTTCGATTTGTACTTTAGACTTCGATATACATGTAATAAAATGATCACAAGTTATTATGACTCGAGCATCCAGCACAGAACACTAAAACCCACAATATATAATGGATAGCGTATTAGGTAGAATTATATATTAAAGGATTAAGGGCGCTGCCACCGCTTGGTTGGCAAAAATCTATACCCCCCAGCATTCAGCTAAGGCTCTGAGAAAATGTGGAATATATTTCTCTTCGGGTGAAAATTGAGGGATCATGACGTCAAATATGACGACTCGATCCCCTCGCGGCGTATGACGATGGTAAACAGATAACCAAACAGAATCCACATAAATCCAGTATGAACGCATGGTAATGTATAAGTGATCCTTCTCATTCCTTGATCTGTCGCACCGTTGTTGAACAGGGATTGAGCGTGCTAAAACGAGTGGAATATAGAGAGGAGCTCTTCATCCTCACCTTCGCTTTCGTCGATGAAGCTATTCGTTGTTGTTTCCTAGGATCATTGTGAAACCAGAAAAAGACAGACTGTCGCTCGTATCCCCCTCGCTTCAGACGTGTTTTACTATGAACCGTACGAATCTGCCTGTAGTAAATTTAAGTTTCTAGGTTGTTGCAAGCCAATCGAGGCAACTATTACTATTCTTTCACTCCATCACTGATAGTGCTTTAATAACTATTCATTTTCCCCTTAATACTTATACGTGACAGAGTGATGGTCACGAAGAAAAATTTCGTGGCTTTGTCAAAAAAGCGTACAAGTGCTTCCGTGAATTTTGACTTCATTTCACTATGGTGTGTGTACGCTTTTTCGACCGCACATTTCCTTGCCCGTCCCCACATTCCGTCGGTACAGGCAAAAAAAGCGCTTTTTAGCGCAGCGCCTCACATGGCTTCAATGCCAGGCGCCATGACGCCCACGTCCCCGCGTTCCGAGGCTGCCAGCGGCCACGACACGGACACGCCGGGTACATTCCAGCGCGGCAAGCGCAAGTACTCGCACACGACGGTGGCTCAGCGTCAGTGCTTGCTCGAGTGGCTGGAACTTCCGGGTAACTTCGAGTTGCTCACGAAACCTGTGAGTGCCAAACTCATCGAGGCCAGTAATGCGGCATCATCATCACCCCCTGCAAAGCGCGTCAAGAAGATGGACGGCTACCGTTCGCTGGCTCAATATATGAACCGAGTGGCACTCACCGATTGGTCTGAGAAGACGGCACGTAGCCGCTATGAAAGCTTCATGGCAGCCTACAGGAAGGCCAAGCGACAGAGCCCGCCGGACCAATTGAAGCCTTTATACCAGCGCGTGGACGCACTCTTTGGACCCGACGGGGATAGAGAGGCAGCAAGATTCAGATCCGAGAGCATGGGTCAAAAGTCGGAGGGCAGCAGGTCACCACTCTTGCCAAGGGACAACGAGACGGAATTCCAGGACCTTTCGGTGGCAGCATCGGAGGTGGCGAGGGCGGAGCCGGAGCCCACGTCACCGTCGAGAGGAGTGGCGCCGACGACCTATAACCGTCCGTTTGAGACGGACTATACATCGGTCGGCCTCGATACGAAGAGAGGGGAGGAACCGGCGTCAAGTCCACTGCAGGACTTGACCTCGACGACTTCGACGCCGATGAATGACCAGATGCTGAAGCTGGAAAGCCAACGACTCGCGGTGAGGCAGAAGGAGCTCGAACTCAAGCAAAGTGAACTGCGAGCGAGGCAGGAGGAAAGCAGGCAAAAGTTACGTGCCGAGGTGCTGACCAAACTGGTGGAGGCTGGCAAATCGCCGGCAGAAGTGCGTGAATACCTCGCTATCATGGACCCAGGCGACAACCAACCTACTCGTCGTTGAAAAAAACTACAACGCTGATGACAAGCAATTATACGTAACCCGTAGCTAAAACAACCCTAAAACATTCTGCGTATTGGGAAATCTAACGCTTGATAAGCAAAAATGGGTAAGTTGAAGCCAAACTGTGTACACCACATAAAATAGCGTACATTGGTCTCATATATCTGGCGCGCACCTCCTCTTCCTGGCTACATCCACTTCTTCCCACTGCCCACTTCTCCCCCCCCCACCGCCGCAGCGACATGCACACGTTGCCGCGCGACGAGCGTTTCCAGTATGATCGTCGTAGCGAAGAAATCCTGGGCGAAACGTTGGCGGCGTTCAAGGGTTTCGACAGTACTCGGTTGAACCCCACAGAGTGGAAATTTCTGGCCAGACGCGATCAAATCATAGTGCACCGCGCTGTATCAGCCACTCGCCAGGGCGTCGACAGTCACAAACGTCGAGTCATCGCCACCGGGTTCCTTAACGCGCGCTTAACGGACGTTCTAGGCGGTCTCTACGTCGAAGATGACAACGAGTTGCTGACAACTCAAGCTATAATGATTCCAAGTGGATGCACAGCAGTGGACGCTGCCGTGCTTATGGTAGCCGAGAGGAGACAAGTTCGAGCGACTCCGTTCCGGTTCGCAGGCGTGAAATGGTATTCGTGGAAGAGAAATGTCAATATTGGTAGTCCTAATTTGAGTATTGGCGAGGGACAGGAGTGTGATTTATTGACGTACGAACGCATGGGGATTGCGCTGGCGGAAGAAAGTGGCAAAGAAGGAAGTCAGGAATTGGCTTATCATGTGATACTGTCACTAAACAAGCCGGAGTGGCCGTTAAATGTGGCTCGAGGACCCGGATTACGGCGAGCGGATATGGCCTTTTGTTTCTTGTTTCGTAAAGTGTGTGAGGACTTGGTGGAGTGTTTTACGTTAGTGGATTATGACTGTCGGACCGCTGCGTCGTCCAGAAGAGCAGCAGATACAGAGATGGCGGACAGGATTCTCATGATTACGAGATTACCGGATTGTGCACATGCAAAGATACTTTCAGGGTTTATACGGAAGGCAAAAGGTCGACAAGTTCTGATGAGTAAGACGTGTCTGCGATGTGGATCAAAGAGGAAAGTTCTGGATCCATTGCGTTCGTGCTGTATCTGCAAGAAATCAGTGTGTCACAAATGTTACGAGCTGAAGGTTATTTTTTCAATGAACTCGCGGACGCACGAGCCGGAGACGGACACGTTCTGTAAGAAGTGTCTGGCTCGAATAGCTATTCTAACAGCAAAGAAGAAAGCGCAGCATAATACCTCGGCTTCTGCTAACAGCAGTAGTAGCTCCACGGGTGGGAGCTCGAGAGATAGGGACAAAGAAAGCCATTCGGGAGGATCCAGCGAAAACAAGAACAACTTTAAATTCTGGAAGAAGAGCAAGGATAAGAGGTTACCAAGTCCACGATCAGAGCTGAATAGGCGGAGACATAGCTTACCGGCGACAATGATCCGACGAGCAGAAGAACATACGCCAAACTACGAAGGATTATTCCAGAACTATGATGTTTTCGGGCGAGCTAGCGAGAATCCGCGGCGATGGGATCAATACGAAGAGTTACGACTGGAGGAAGAGCAGGAACCGGAAAAGGAGCATGAAAACGTTGAGCCTCAGCGTGAGAAGCGATGGAGGCAGACAACATTTCTTGCGAATCCCGAGGCGGCAGCAGCGGAGGCAGCAGCGGCTAACCGCTTGTCCGTGGTAAAGCAAAGAGTGATCACCTCAGTGATCAGAGAAAGAGAATACTCGGTGGCAGAGGTCTACCCTGTTGCGAAAACTGTGCTGAAGACCGATAATTCCAACTCAGAGGACGGAGACTCGCCCCATAGTGAAGCCGAGCGAGCTCATCATTTATATCTGGAGCGACGACAACGACTGGAGCTGGATGGCCAACAGAACTTGTGTCGTCGTGAAGTCATCTCAAGACCCCACCCCGTGCAAGAAATTTCAAAACCAGCTTCACAATATGCTAACAAGTCAAGTGCGGAGACAGAAAGTGGCGCGACACCAGTAGTCCAAGGTGCCAGAAATACTGCATCATCAACTCGTGAGTCTATCAGAAGAACCAGGAGAGCTCGTCAACAGGAGAGCGACGATACCTTCCGAATGGACCTCTACGGTCGCTTTTAATTTAACTCGGCAAAGCAGTACAAATATTATAACACGCAGTTCCTTATTGGTAAGCCGATTACCGTAGGCATGCGGGATAATCGAGCTGAGTAGCAGGGTCAAATTCGCTGTACATTTCAGCTTCAGTGACGTTGTACGCTAAGTTCTTGAAAAACTACAAAATTTGAATTGGTAGCTTGTTATCGTACTAATGTAAGAAGTGCAGGGCATTTTCTTGACTAGCGGTGAGTCTGGGTGAGCATACACTTGTCTCACAACGTTCGTCTGCAACACAGCGTTGATATTCAAAAGAAATGCGACCGACATGATCCGTGAAAGTGTCTATCCTACTTCAAGATTATCAGAACGTTTCGTAAGTTGCACGCTACTTTACCTCGAGCTCTGTCGTGGTGAGTGAGTTGTGGTAGTTAGAGGGGGCGAGGGCTCAATTGATGTTCAGTTGCTCAGACCTCAACGTCTAGCTGTCGTGGATCCGATACAATACATCATAGACACGAGCCAAAGTAAAATGGCGTCTTAAGTCATCGCGAAACGACCGGTTGGTGTCTATTAAATAATACCGTACGTTGTTGACAACAATTGTGAGGAAAATGTCTGCCGATGTGGTCTAACTTTCACCCTGGGCCTTTGCAGCTTGGTGGGCTCTCTTCCTTGTGTACACGTGGTTGTCAGCTTCTACAACGCTGTGTACACGTATTACTAGAGCATTCTGCACGACTCTGACTCGGAAATTACTTTAGAAGTATTGACATTAGGCATGTCAACATCATATCACCACACACTCACGTTCGTCTATTTGATCATGTCTGGGCTTCACGTTATTTGCATTCTTTTGATGGTAGGTGGTTCAATTCGGTTGCTTTTGTTAAGTAGTCAATCTAATTCCAGAATCTATACATAAGTAAAGCTACAAATAGGTCTACCACCGCTGCAGAATTTACGCTCAAATAGCTTGCACCTCCAGCGACATCACGCTCAAGAAATGGCACGAGCCAAGTTGCCAGAGGTTGTTCAGCTTTCATCCTGGGCATTTGCTGTATGGTGGACACTGTTTTTAATTCTACATACAGTTGTTAGCTTCTACAACGCGGTGTACGCCTATTACTACTGGATTCTACACGAATCCTATGTCGAGGTTCTTCTGGAAGCTTTCTATGTCGGCATGCCACCTGAATATCACCATACCATCTCTTTCGTCTATGCGATCATGTCCGGCATGCATCTTGTGTGTATTCTCCTCATGATTGTTGGCTCTGTTTGGCAGCGATCTCTTGCTTTTACTCCGTGGTCAACTCGTAAAGTTGGGCCTCACGCTAGCAAGATCAAGGTTACACGCGCAAAGTCAACAGTTGTTCGCAATATTTACTCCAAGCTCTCGGACCGACATGGACTGTTTGGTGTAAACGGGAGGTATTTTCATGAAATTCAGCTTTTACGAGAGATCGCCGAGACATCACTGCAAACTCTCCAAGCTTATCGAATGAGCAAGTTTTTGCCACGTACGTTGCTCAATCGGTTTTACGTCGTCCTGCTTACAGTGAATTGCTGGTCGTCGGTTTTTGTCAATTCGTGTATCTTCAAGGGTAACGAAGCTCGCAGACGGTTTGGCTCAATTGCTTTAGATTGTGCACTTGACCTCGTGGCGTGTATGGGTGTGGAGCTTATTATTGTAGTGAGTTACTCAAATGACTTCGATCTCAACCTTGATATATCTAGCTACCTCATATTGTTCAATAACGAGTGGATGGCTCGAGCTTACAATGAGTTCCAGATGGTTGTCGTAGTTTCATGGTGGGATCTAGTCAGCCGTGCTACATTTTCTATTGGATTACTCATTGGCACAACCGACATGAAGGATCTTCTCCAGCGTCTTCCATTGAATGATAATCAAGTTGCCCAATCTACATTAACCGCTGTAGCAGTCAAAGACACGAAGAAGATGGCACAATCTCCCACTGGAACACTAGTCTCTGATAAAGTCATACGCACCATTAATTTAGGATTTGGAATCTGGGGTGCTCTAGTTCTTGCACTCCATATCCACGCATCAAGTCAACCAACTCTTCCTCAATGTTTGATGCAAGTTAGACCATGGGCGACTTCAAGACCTTCGTGCTATTTGGCGGGGCTTGACTGCCATACCTTACAAATATCGGGTGAAATTAATGAGGTAGATGACTTGTGGAGCGAATTCGATACCACAACGGTTGTTCAAATGCTCATCCGACATTGCCCGGCTCTTGAAGTGCCAAATCGGTTCACCGAATTTCATAGGCTTCGTGAAGTCAAAGTATACAATACTACCATCAAGGACTGGGGCGAGTCTGCAGCGATCACAAATACAAACCACCCCGAATTTACTGGACTGTATTTGATTCGTGTGAATATGACGGATGGTGTACTCCCCGCTGGTTTCCAATCGACCGATTTTCCTCAGTTGCTCTATTGCATTGAACTTTCTATCACAAATTTGCGCGAGCTGCCTGTTGACTTGGACACCAAGTGGCTTTTAGGTTCGCTTATCGCTATTGAGTACAGCCAACTTTCTGTGGTTCCTCCTGCTGTTGTTCGATTGCAACCATACTACCTATCACTGACAGGCAATCCAATAACAGAGCTTCCTCCTGAAATCTTTGAAATTGACGTCATGGAAATCCTCTGCATCAGTAACATGAACCTTCGTGAGCTACCCCGTAATGTTACCAATCTTTCTGATTCATTAAGATGGGTTTTTATGCTCCATGCCGACATATCATTCTTCTGGTCGTGGGCGGATGAGCTCGTGGAACGAATGGAGGGCGTAAGTGCACCTTGGATTGCTGGGTCCTCTATGTATTGTAGTAATCTTGCGAGAATTCGGAACGGCAGCGCTGATGGGTTTCAAGTTTCGCTATCTCCTGATTATTCTCAAACTCTGATGGATTCGTCAGAAACAAACTTACAAGTGATCTCGAAAGCGGTCAACTGCAAGCCAAAAACTGGCCTGCCGTCAGGTGAAGGCATGCTTTATCCTCTCGCTTACGAAGACAGTATCAGCGCTATTAGCACGCCACCACTATTGATGTAGCAGATTGAAAGCTCGTCGAAAAGGTGGCTACGTCAACAGTTTTAAAGAAGTATACTGATCAACTGACTATTGGTGCCGGTAATAATTCTTCTGGCATTTTCTCTAACAGCGAAACTCAGCTTTGATACACCACTCGAATGTATTCATGATGCTGAGCAAATTTATCGGCACTACATGACCCAACCAGAACATTGTATATTTACACTACTTTGACTGTACGTCTTCACTTTCAAGAGTGTCGAGCTAATCGTTCTGCCAAAGGTGACTAGTAGAATCAAGGACAAAGCTCTTACGAAGCCCATGGGATGTAAAGGAAATGCCCGCAATGAAAACAATAAAATGTGTGTTTTTACTTCAGAAGAAGTAGCACTTCGTTCTGCTTGCGATTTTTGTAGG